CTATCTTAGCTACGATCAAGTCAACCACCATTGCTCAGCAGCGCCCATCACTTACTGCTTACATAAACCCACACGCTTCCGATCCTACGAAGTAGTCTTGCCTCTTGGGATCAAGGATCGTCACACTATATTAACTACTTTATTATTAATATTAGAGTAGGAGTAGGAGTAGGAGTAGAAGTAGAAGTAGAAGTAGAAGTAGGATTAGAAGAGGCAGTACTAACTTTAATAAATAATAAGCTGTCTATAGTACCACCTATATTATAGGTAGAGGGCTAGCTCTTTATCTAGCTAAGAGGTAATCTCATCTAGATTATATATAATATTAATAGAGAGATAGATATTATTATAACTAAGAAGGCCTTCTTAATAGACTATATCCTCTAGCTTATATATATAGCATTCTCTTATTATCTTAAGAGACTTAAGTACTCTAAGATCTAGTTGTTATATAAGCTTCTATATATAGAGCTAATAGAATAAGAGATAGGTAGTAGATAGGATAGGGCTGGCCTAAAGTATATAGATATAGATCTAGTCTAGATACTTAAGACTATTAAGATATATCTCTATACTATATACTAACTCTATAGTAATTAATCTCTAGACTATAAGATAATCTAATAAAGAGCTAGATAGCTAAGCTGGTTCTAAGATAATAAGACTAGCAATCTAGTAAGCACTAAGATTATAGGCTTCTATAGGTTTAAGCTTAAGTCCTCTCTAGTAAAATACTTCTAGTAGATAAAGCAACTCTTAGCCTATTATTATTAGGTTGTATACCTAGAGTATAGCTACTTTATAAGAAGTAATATAGATTATAGATTGCTATATAATATTATTAAGCTAACTAATATATAATAGCAGGTTATAGATATTATTATTAATATCCTAAGGGCCTAGAATAAGAAGAAGCTAGTTATAGAGGAGAAGCTATAGTAGCTATAAGATAATAATAATAATAATAATATTAATATTAATAAGAATAAGAATAGCTAACTAAAATATATAGTCTATAAGTTCTATATTACCCTTATTTACTATACTATTAGAAGCAGTTTCTTCTAGTCTGCTCTTCTTAACTTCTATACTATACTTAGTTAGATAGAGGCCTCTATCTAGAGATATATAGATATAGGTAATATAAGGGCCTCTTAGTAATAGATATGATATAAGTCTAATAACTTTAATAATTATAATGATTACCTTTCTTTATATACTATTTTTATCTATTTTACTAGTGTTAGAGTAAATTATCTCTACAACTAAATTTTAAATTATCTCTTACCCCTATAATTAATAGTACTAGTTTTTTTATATAGAGTTTTAAATCATCTCTTAGTAGAGATTGTTTACTAAGTGTGGTAAGGTTAAAGTAGAGTTGTAGTCCTTCCAGCCAGGAATATTACTCTGGGGTTAATTGAACCATTGGGATGGGATGGGATGGGAGAAGGCAGACCTGGATAACCTAAACGTAGTGTAGTAGTGTATCTATATCTACACAAAAAGGGGCATGGCATACTCCTATACTCCTATCTATATGAGATGGACTTGCCCGACGCGACGTGGGACGTGAAAACGGGGCCCGTTTTCTGACGGATGGAAAAAGTCCAACCTGAGAACGGGCCCCGTTCTTATTTTCTCGTACCCCTGTTGAAACGTATGACAGCCGATTGGAGCAAAAGCGCGAACGGGGCCCGTTCACGTCTCCAATACTTGAGTAGATAGATCACTTTAAGTTCTTCACGGTCTCAAACCCAATCCAACCTGGCAACACTGCCCGAATCTCCTTTACATAAGCTGGTACACCCCCTGCATAACTGATCGGCTCCATGGGTTTGCCAGGGATGCTACCGCCCATGTATGTGCTCCGTGTTTTCGAGATAAGAGATGCGTCACTTAGTTCGATAACGTGAGACTTCCACTTTTTGCTCGCCTCGTGTGTCGGGTTGAAGTACTTAAATCCTTCCTTTTCTGCAAGTTTGATCGCGTCTCGTATCCAACGGCCTTGCACTTCCACACAAGTAGGCCCATTTGCTAACAAGGTTGGGCCATGCTGTAATAAATGTCAACACAAGGACGGACGGAAAATCAATGAGGGTAGTGATATACCGGGCCATAAATAGAAAAGAGGTTTGGATAACCCGCGATTGTTGTCCCTAGGTAGGTATACGCGCCATTGGACCATTCATCCCGAAGTGTCGTTCCATGTATGGATTTTAGACCCATCTGAATCAAATGTTAGCGGGTATTGACATGCCTAAGATTGCAAAAGAAACCCTACGTTTGTAATTCCTCCGGTTCCGACATCAAAGCCGGTTGCTAGCACAATAATATCAACCTCATAATGCTTGCCGTCACTTGTTCGTATACCTGTCTCAGTGAATTCGACAATCTTGTTGTTCGACCTTTCACTGATATCGATAAGCACGACATTATCTTGATCAACGACCTCATAGAAATTCTGCTCGAGACATGGCCTCTTGACTCCAAACGGATGAGGTGGCTCAAGAGGGCACAGTAGCTCCCGCTTTCGCGGGTCTTTAATCCGGGCTGACTGCTTCCTGCGCCAGAAGTCGTACACCAACCTGTTTGCGGCGGGATCGAAGAGAGAGTCTTTGTAGTTGCCTAGCCAGATATTGAATCCTGCCTTTTGCCATAGCTGTTCGTACAAAGCCTCGCGCTCCTCAGGGTTGTCTTCAAATGTGCCCCGCTCAACAAAGTCGTAAATGAAGCCCGCAAAAGTCGTCTCCCGTAAGCGCATGAGCTCATCATAAACGGGGTAGAGGCATTCCTGTTGCTCTTTTGTCATATCACGTTTTCCCATAGGCAAAGTGAGATTCGGTGTGCGCTGGAACACGACGAGCTGCTCGACTTTCGGAGCCCATTCCTGAATGATTTGAATACCGCTGATACCTGTTAGTAAAGCAAAATTGGGGCTCGGAGACCGAGAAGAGAGCTAGGGAAGCCTTTGCAACACTTCCATCAAGCTGAGCAGACGAACTCACCTGGCGCCGGTCCCGACGACAGCAACCCTCTTTCCGGCAGGCTCAATCCCCCCGGCTGGCCAGAATGAAGAGTGATGGATTTGACCTCTGAACTTATCCACCCCAGGGTAATCTGGAATGAATCTTTTGGAAGCGAACCCGGCCGCAATGATAAGATATTTTGTCCTAGCGGTACGACCGTCGGCCGTTCCTACCGTCCATTTCCCTGTGCCACTATCGAACTCGGCCGACGTGACAACAGTGTTAAATGCAGTGTCCTTGCTCAGATCACAGACCTTGTCCAGATGATCAAAGTAAGCTTGTATTTCTCGGTAATCGGGGTAATTGGTCGACCACGTCCATGTCTTATAGACTTCGGGTATAGCAAATTGGTAGATTGGGGTCTCGGAATCAACTCGAGAGCCTACTGCGGTCACTAAAAGAACAGGTTTGCGACAAATCATGTAGAAAGTACTGACCGGGATAGGAGTTGAAACGCCAAGTGCCACCAAAGCCCTCGCCGGCCTCATAGACAACGGTTTTGAAGCCAGCTTTGCGCAATTCGTAGAGCAGGTACGTCCCTCCGAACCCTCCACCAACTACAAGAGTGTCGACCTCAAGATCCTCGGCATATGGACCGTCTTTCTGCCGCCGACGAGCGTATTCGGAAAGGTCACGATGCAAAGTATGCTCCGACATGTCTTGGGGATGTCTCGAGAACCGCCGCCGTGTCAATGTTCAAGGTATGCTCGATAACAGAAATAGAGCGAGGAGATGACTATGATACCGAAGATGTTAACTACGGTGATTTTGTTTTTATATACATTCGGCTGATCTTATCTGCTATTGTACTGGCGAGGAGGGCTACGGACGGCGGCTGATATCCACCACCAGAACACGCGGATATTGCAGGATTTAGACAGCCTTTCAAGACCAGCGCGAAGCGGCCTGTTGTTGGATGGTGCTAGAGAATATTGGGAATGAGTCTAGCTCTAGCTTGATTAAGGATTTCCCGCCCGCCCCTGGATTTGCGGAATGTTGAGAACCTGGAAATGGGGTTTCATCACATGGATTAGTCGTAGTGGCTTGCCCAATCGTCCTCTTAGACCTTCCCGGCCTTTTTGCCCCTGATCTGCAAACGAGGCGAACCAAATCAGCCCCACAACGCGAAACTTGCCGCGACTTACCGACAGAGGCCTCCTCGATAATCAGCCACTCTTGCACAGTTGAACTACAACAAAAGAACATGCACGCCTCCAGCTGTTAAACATGACCATTTAGAAAGCGTCTAACAGTAATCGCCTTTCGCTTCCCCGCAGAGCCTTGAATAGACTTTAATGGTGGGCGGTCGCTTCTGGCTTCCCTGTGCACATACACACACACACAGAGAGAGTGTCAGATTACAGTGGGTATCCCACTGTAGCCAGCCTGTATCCACTATGATGTTTGGCCACTATTTATTTGTACTAGAAGGTACACAGTGCCTGATACACTTAGACTAGATAAGAATACAACCATCTACCACAGACGACCCTTGTTGGTCTTGTTCCCCCGCGTTGGCCCTCACAGAGAGAGAGAGAGAGAGAGATTGAATCGCCCCCGCATGTATTCCACAGTCTCCGAGCTAATTACGGCAGAGAGTTTACTTGTAAACCAACACGGGTTCGGACAATTACCACCTGGCCTCGGCCTCCGTCACCCCCCGCATTTGAAACCCCAGATTTTGCCCGTTCGTAATAGTCCGGAATTCCGCCCAGGGTAACTTAAAAAGGCCGTGCAACCCGCCCCCAAAATTCCGCGCACCGTACGATTGATCTTTCCTAAAAAAAAAAAAAAGAATGATGCCGGCCATATCCGGAACTTCCCCCCCACGTCAATACCGGCGCGGATATGCGGCTTGCACCGTTTGCCGAAGTCACAAGGTCAAATGTGTCCTTGGTACGGGCCCACCCTGTGCCAAATGCCGGCGCGAACACCGCGAATGTGTTTTTGACCGCACGAAGCGAGGTCCGAGGACACGAAACGTGTCGCAGTGGGCTGAAGCTACTCAACCACCAATAGACACAGGCGGAAGGGTGGCTACGGATGCAGCTGAGGCCCAAACCGAACCGCAAACCTGGAACAATGATACCGCTTCTCGTACTACAGGATCCGAGACCAACCGCCGTAAGGATGCGTCCATTCTTCATAGAGTATGTGATTCGACTAACGCCCGGGCGAGAACCTTCCAGCAGTGCCCATCGACCCCAGGTTCCAGCCCACTCTCCCGCATCACTCCTGGAACGGACCATGTGCCCGAGCGAGGCGCTAGGCTTCTTCAACGAGCCCCGGGTGTCTCAGGAAGGGGCCCCCTCCGGATCTATCCCGGTGTCGCCTTTCCCAGCGCCAGCAAGTCAGCAGAAACGAACCCAGTTCGGCAACCCGTGGCATCCCCCAAGCGTGGATGAGTTGTCACAACTAGAAGATGGGGTCCTTGACGTGTGGAATCAGATCCCCTACGTGCGGATGGGCTGGTTTACAGCTCAAGAGGCATTGACCTACATGGACTTGTAAGTTCCCACGGCATTCGTCTGGGCAGGCCTTTTAACTCTTGCCAGGTTTCATCGCCATCTATCGCCTTTTTGCCCCGCCTTTATGAGTGAGATTGAGATCGGAAAGTCACGCTATGCCCGAATCGCGCAAGAGCCTATGCTATGCACTACCATCCTCATGATCGCTTCACGATTCTTCACCTTGCCCGGGTCTGGTGGCTTGACTCGTTTCTATCTTATTCATCATCATTTATGGCAGCAATGTGAGCGGCTCATCCAGCTGCTCATGTATGGCCAAGAAAAGTACCTGCGAGGAAGTCACACCTGGGCCACACTGCAAAGCCTTCTTTTGCTCTCTGAATGGCATCCCCGAGCCCTGCGATCTGTCTCCACTACTCAAAACGAGACATGGCAGGGCACAGAATCGAGGCTCTCTGGTGAGGCGGCCTCCGAAGGACGAGAGCAATCGCCCGCGTCCAGGTACGAACAGGAGCTCTTGGCTCGAGCCAAGCATTCAGATCGTATTTCATGGATGATGGTAGGGGCGGCTCTGAACCTCGGCCATGAAGCCGGAGTCTTTGTAGACGCTTGCTTCTCCAGCGGCACGCTAGGCAGTGACTGGTTAGGCCCTCTGCACACCAGAAAGCTGCTGTATGTCTATGTGACCAATCTTTCCGTCCGCCTCGGATTCCAGAATACCTTTACACAAGACGTTATCCTAGCCCGGGCCGTATTACCTGTGGAAGGAATTGACCGTTCTGGAACTGACAGTAACGATGTATCAATGGAGCTATGGCTTTCTTTGGTTCGTCTCAGTCGAGCTGCTGCCGCCATTTTTTTTCGCAGCCCAACCAGCACCAAAGATCATCTTCGCAATGGCGACTATATCATCATGTTGCAGAGCTTTGTGGTGACCCTCTCGAAATGGTATGATGACTTCGTGGCATCCCAGTTAGGTAAGTATCTATTCATGTCTTTCGCTCAATAGAGTCCTAAAGCCGCTTCTATACTGTTCGACGTCTGGTGGAAAGATTCTAACAACTCTTACTACAGTCATGAACCAGGCCGTTCAGAGTCTATTATTGATTGAGTATCACCACCTGAGAACGTATACTCATGCCTTAGCCATTCAAGCGGTTCTTGAGAGAAGTCCATCTCAGACCTTTACTACATGCCAGAAGAAAGATCGACTCGAACTACTCTCCACCTGCTATCTTCCAGAGGACTTCGCTTTCATTAACGAAGTCATTACTAATAGCACCAGCGTCCTCCGGATCACAATGGCAATGGCGGATAATGGCCGTCTACGTTTTGTTCCCATTCGTCAGCTGCAATCTATTCTCTCTGCTTTTTTGTTTCTCTTCAAAGCCATTCCAATCTGCACCAGCAGAGAAGATGTGCAAACAGCCTTGTCGGACTTGGAACAATGTGCCAAAGCGTTAGGAGAAGCAGACATGGATGAATTGGATGTTTCGCGCGACACTCTTACATTCTTCCAATCGCACGTCCGAAAGATCAGGAAGCAGGTGAATATCTTCTTTTCAGCTTCTACCAACCCTGAAGAAGCTTTGGTTGCGCAAGTCTTAGCAGATCTCAGCGAGCCGTCGTCATCGGGAGATGGTGAGTCGGCATCAACATCCTTGCTTCCTGGAGTCAATTGGAATCAGGAAGTCTTCAGTATTCCCGGTCTACCCGCGGATTTCGCTACATCCTGGCACTCTCTGGACGCTTTTAGCCGCCTAGCAGGTATCGACTCCGAGTGGCAGCCAGCAGATCGCTTCTAGGATATCTCCAGACCAAGAAGAAAATAGGAAATAGATCGGGTTTTCCTAACAAAACTATTCAACGAACAAGAAGACTTGCTTGGAAGGTGACAATGCTATTATCGCCTAATTTTCATCATTCTCGAATTAAGATTAGCATAGGCCTGACGTGAATTAGATCTCGCAGTATAGTGATAGGGTAAAACCCAAAACAGCTTCGTCCGTTCTAAGCGTTGCTCATAAGCATATGAGGTGGTTCCCGGTAAGTGCTCTAGTTAAGCTCCTCGGGGCCGGAGAAGAATAAGAGATCCGGGTCCAAAATGCCCGAGATTCACGTAAAACTGCTGAAAAAGGGGATGGCGCTAAAAATCGGCATATTACCCAATCCCGAAAAAGGGGATGGCGCTAAAAGTCGGCATATTACCCAATCCCGAAACTACCCAAGACTTCCCGAAGCTGAAAGTCCGCCTTAACCCCTTCGGTGATTTGTTGCTTCGGCATATTGCATGATATGCTTTTGAGATGAGGGTTGGCCTTGTGCATTGCTCCCTTTCGTTTATATCTTGGCTTCCTTTCTGGATTTTTTACATTGCCTATGTGATGCCGAGAAGTCTTCTTACCGACCCCTGCATTTGCATACAATTCCAGGAACCACAGCTACAAAAATGGCCGTACTCAAGATTATGATATGCGGTGCCGGCATTGCTGGTAACTCCCTTGCATATTGGCTATCACAACAGGGGCACGACATAACAGTTCTCGAGCGACATCCCGACTTAAGGTCTACTGGCCTCCAGATCGACATCCGCGGACATGGAATAGAGGTCTTGAAGCGAATGGGTCTCGAGACTGATTTCCGCAACGCGGCGGTCAAAGAACAAGGACTCGAGTTTGTGAACAGAAATGGGAAAAGAGTTGCATACTTTCCGGTAAACGCGACCGGCGAAGGGCTTCAAAGTTTCACCACGGATTACGAGATCATGAGAGGTGACCTGATCCAGCTATTGTACAACAAGGTCAAGGATCGTGTACGCTTTGTGTTTGGGGCATTCATCGAGAACTTCAAACAGCTAGACGATTCTGTCGAAGTTGAGCTTTCAAATGGCAATAAGGACCGCTATGACCTTCTCATTGGTGCCGATGGGCAGTGGTCTCGTACCCGGAAGCAGATGCTTGGAGCTCAGGCGAAAGACCCAATCCACTTGCTTGGAGTCTATGCTGGTTACTTCACCATACCTCGCAAAATTACGGACAGGGAGATATACAAGGGAACGGCCTACATTGCTCCAGGCAAACGACTTTTGTTCACCCGAAGGCACCAAAAGGACCGCATTCAGGTGTATCTGGTAGGCCTGACTGATTCTGATCGAGTCCTGGCTGCTCGCAAGGCCGGCATTGATCAAGAAAAGGCCGTGCTCGCAGAGCTGTTTCGTTCCGCTGGCTGGTGCTCTGAAGAACTAGTCAGACAAATGGAAGAGTCTGACGACTTTTATTGCGAGCACATGGGTGTTGTCAGGATCGACTCCTGGACTCAAGGGCATGTTGCACTTCTGGGAGATGCAGCCTCCTGTCCTACTGCAACAACCGGAATGGGCACGACATCTAGTTTAGTCGGTGCCTACATTCTCGCTGGAGAGATCATGGCTCGCTGTGGCGGACCTAATGGCTCCAAGGAGGATCTCTCATTGGCCTTGCATAGTTATGAAGAGCGCTTCCGGCCTTTCATGGAAACGGTTCAGAAAGGGATCGAGAAAGACAAGACCTACTGGCATATGATGCCATCGGGTGCATTCATGCTTGCTATTCTGAATTTCATCTTGTCTGTTGCATCTTTTTTCAGATTAGACGTGCTTGCCAAGCACATCATGAGGGAGGATACAGGTAGTTGGAAGCTTCCAGGCTATGAGGGAATGGACATGAGGAAGAGCAAGAAGTAACCAACAACGCCTCGATTTGGCACGTGGAAATTTGTTCTGATTGATGCTCCGTAGTCCCAAATGGAATCCAAGTCAAGCCTCCGGCAGATGGATGAGAAATTGTCCCTAATGAAGTGCCTTTGGTGTGTTTCTGATGGGCGATGGGCCTCTCGGTACCCATACCTAGCCCATGATCAGGCAGGAGATTTATGTGGCAAGTCTTCAGAGCCCACCCTAATCACACCTGTGATATTCAACTGACCGAGGTCAGAGGTATACACTCAACGGCTTCTTCCAAGGAAATAGTACACCGGTAGGTATAGCTCTATATTTTCTCCAGTTTGGTCAAACTCTCATAGACACTACAACATTGATGCGGGCTGGAGTGGTTTTCGGCAGGCGATACATGTTGAACCAATTGCTACAATCTGCTCTTGTCCTGCTAAGTTGTGTTCTTACTTCACAATGTAAATGCTTTCGTCCCCAGTCTGTTTGTCCAACTCCGTCAGCTCTCCAGTCGACCACTCTGTGTACTCATAGCCAGGTGGGATGTTGGTATTCTTGAAAGGAGTGCCCTTCTCTAGATGCTCGATCACAGAATCATAGTTCTCGTACGCGTAACGTTCTGGGTCCGCACCGTAAAGCCAGTCTGGCTGTGGAATCTGTAGGTATTCTGGGTTCTCTCGGACCAAGTCCCAGTCTGTCTGGTGCCATTTGTGACGTGTCTCCCACCCCATTCGTTGAGTCGCCGTGGTTCTTTCGAAACTGCAAAAAATCTTTGTAAAATTCCAGTCATGAGAACAAGGAGCCTAGCACTCACCGTATCTTCTCGAAAGCCATCAGAGCTTTTGATATGTTGGCCTTGCCAGCTTTGTCAATTAGAGCAGCCAACGTAGCCGCATCCTCTAGAGCTTGAGCAGCACCAGAGGCAGAGGTTGGCAAATGTGGATGAGCGGCATCGCCAATTAGTACGACCCTTTGAGCGTCAGATACCCACTTCTTGATAGGGTCTCTCCAGAGCAACTTGAAGTCGATGAGAACTTCTTCAGGGATCTGGGAGAACACGGCACGTAGAAGCGGATCCCATCCTTCGACGAAGGCCAGCATGTCTTTGACCTTTCCCGGGTAGCTCCATGACTCTTCAACTGTATAAGTGTCCTTGTGAGTGAGGAAAGCCCCGACATGCTGGAGGGTCGAGTTGAAATGCACGATAGCGTGCCGGTCCTCTCCAATCCAGACGAAGCTAGAGTCCTTTGCATTTTTTGCAAGATCACGGGTCAAAGGGTTTTCAAGAAGGCGGTCCATGGGGAACCATGAGCGGTATATGGCAACACCGCTCCGCGTAGGAGAATCAGGAGCTTTTGTGATGTACGTTCGCGTCTTGCTGTAGACTCCATCTGCCCCGATGACCGCATCTGCGACAAGTTTCTCGCCATTGACAAAAACTCCGGCCGAATCACCCTCTTCCCAATGATCTGAGACCTTGGCACCGAAGGTGATCTTGACTCCTTGTCTGATTGCTTCGTCATACATGGCTTTCTGCAATCGAGCACGGCTGGTCCAGATATTGATGTGGCCATTGTACGCCTCATCCCATGGCTGGGAAACAAGGAGCTTCCCAGCGCTGTCTTGGATTGTAATGGCCGGAATCTTGGACGCGGTCACGTTCAGGTCGTTCCATACGGCTGGCCATTTCTCGATGACTATCGTGCCATTGGCAGCGATAATTATAACATCACCTGGAGAAGTGTTACTTGATGATTGTGGGTCGTCTGGTACTAGAAGACTTACCTGACTCTGATAATTGTTTTTCTTTTTCGAGTACATGGACTGTGCAACCTTTGCGCTGTAGTTCGAGGGCGCAGGCTAATCCGCCAAATCCAGCGCCCACAATAAGGAAGTGCATGGCCTGATTGTCTGTCATTTTCTGTTCACGAAGAGCATAGACGAGTGCTGCGGCGGAGAAGAATGAGTAGTCTGTAAATGCAATTTGGACTCGTTATCGATGTTGCACATAACCGTACATCGGACGTGCGTAGCAAGGGTAATAATATAATAGTTGTTTGGGGGGCTATCTAAGAGCCAAGGTCAAACCGAACGCATATTAGGAGGGCCCGTGATTCGGAGTAATTAAGTTCAATGCTAACCCAGCTACCCCACAACCCGTGAGTATCCGTATCAGAAGATGCGTAGGTCCTTCATAGAATGAATTTGCCGATCATATCCACCATTGCATCGGTTCGTCCTTATGAAATGCTGGTAGGCTTGAACTTTGCGAAGCTGCACTTGTGTTCCCCGCTCAACATAGGGTCAAAGTGTGCCTAGGCCAAACGTAATTTCATTTAGCGGGAAGGACTTGGAGACGGCCACGCACGCAGGATATAATAGCATAGCGTTCAACGGGTTGACCTTGTCCCTCAACTCTCTCCGCTTTCATTGTTTGACGTACGCAGCCCGAAAAAGCCATCTAGTTGTACATAGGATCCGAGATGGCTGGCTACAAACTGCCAGACTTTGACAATCTGCCTGCTATACAGGGTATGCCACAAGGCTGTGCCTGGGGCGTCTTTGACACGGATGGCAAGAAGGATGTGTTTGGCACTATCAATCTGATAACGCCAGATATAGTAACCGCAGCTGCTTCTGAGATCCAGGAGGGTATTTCTGTCTCCTTAAAGTGCGTTTCTTCTGCCCTATCTTTCGGGATGACATTCTGACATGACATGTGTTAGCTGGCCGATTGGTGCAATTGAGACCCCATCCTTCCTCCGTAAGGGTCTTGAGCATAAGGTCATCGATTTCAGGGACTCAGCTATGCCTTTGCACGGGTTCGATGATGAGGTATGCTTCTTAAACTTAAACAGTATGGAAGATTAACGCAAAGAGATCTAAAGGTTTTGATAGATCTCTTTCAATACACAATGCAGCTCGCAATGGGACAGTCTATGCCATTTTAACCACCAGCCAACCGGCACCGCATACAATGGCACGAAAGGCTCTATTGAAGCTTTTCAACAAAACTTTGGCGATGAAGATAAGGATCAAAAGCACCCGACACTGGATCGTACGTTCATGTGAACCTCAGTAATCACAACTTGCTGAACACCCCTGACAGACTGGCACTCCCGAGGTTGCCTCGTTGCGAGAGGCGTTCTGATCGACTATAAAGCATGGGCTGATCATAAAGGTGTACAATACGACCTATTTGACGCACACCGTATCCAGATTAGTGAAATTGAGCAAGTCGCTGCTGACCAGGGAGTCAAATTTCGACAAGGCGACGTTCTCATCATTCGTACTGGTTTCACCGAAGCTCTGAGCACTATGACAGGTCAACAACAGTCCGAAGCGTTATCAACTTACCGATCCATTGGCGTTGATGGCAGCAAGGAGAGCGCTAAATGGTTCTGGAACAAACACTTCGCCGCAGTCGCAGGGGACATGATTGCATTTGAAGCGATGCCGCCGCTCAATGATGATGGCAGTGAGGGCGCTGTGTCAGGATTGGTACTCCACCAGTATTTTCTAGCCATGTTTGGGATGCCGATTGGGGAACTATGGGATCTTGAGGCGCTGAGCAAAACCTGCAGCCGATTGGGCCGGTATAGTTTTATGTTGACAAGTAGCCCTCTGAACGTGCCGGGGAGTATTGGCAGCCCGCCAAATGCAATTGCCATATTCTAGTCATGTAGCTTATTAGCTTTTCGCAATTACTTGAGCAATTACTTGAGCTCTATCCCGATTCCTACTCTCAACGACGATAAAAAAATGGACTGCCTCTGTCAATTTGAAGGTAGTTGATGTACACGGAATAGAAGTAACCTCACTTCTCTCTCCTCTCCTTTCCTGTTCGCTAAAAGCAGAAAAGAGATGCCCTAATCTTGTCTGGTCTACGTACAGGATACAACCATCCGCAGGTACATATCACAGTCTTCCTTAAGTTTTCACGCGATTGTTCATAGAGGTAATTTACCCGATTCCAGCTAATATCAGACTACGCAAGTCTTTTCTCTATTATGCCTTCGAGCTTGGAAATCGCTTTTCGACCCAGTTAAGGATCAAATTAAGCATCTCATCAAAAGTTTCCTTACTGTCGTCAAAATAATGCCCCCCGGGGATAAGGTGCACTTCCTTATCTTCGGTCTCAAGACTTTCGAAGATATTGCCAGCATTCGAGGTAAATACACCAACATCAGCCTTGCCCTGAATCACGATCGACGGGACCTTCCACTGAGCTGCAAAGGTCTTAAACTGTATCTTGGAGTCTTGCATGCTCCACAAAGACAGCCAAGTCAGTAAAGAGCTGGAGCGACCTGCGAGGCCAATGCCGCGATTCGATTCTGCCGGGTCGCCAAAGTAGCAGGCAGGAACTGGCCTATCTGAAGGCTCGATTGACCCATCCACGAATCTGAGATCTGCCATCGTCCGATGAATGGGGAAGATCCGGTCCGGGATGCCGGCCGCATTAAGGCGTTTCAGTTCTTTCTTCACCCACTCATCAATGCGGTTGTGCCTCTGTACCTGAGCAGCTCGATAACGCTTGACGAATTCTGGAGAGTATGGTGGTCCATTCGCGGGGTTATACATGTCCAGGCTGGGGTCGGTCTTGACCGGGTCATCTTCATCGATGACAGCGGGATCCAGCCAATCGCGAAGAACCTCAGGTCGCCCCGTATGAGCGCTGAGGAAAACGAAAGCATCGGCTTTGGGATATGATTCGACCTCTCGCGACTTGGCATGGTAAGCGGCCATGAGAGAGCCACCCCCCGAATTGCCAAGAAGAATAAGCTTTTGGACACCAGCAACTTCTTTAAGCCAACGACATCCCACAGCAATATCATCTAATGCTGGTTCCAAGATAAAGAGGTCTTCTAGGCCCCTATATCTGGTGTTCCACCCAAGAAATCCGAAACCATGCGCGGCAAGATGCCCAGAAAGATAATGCTCCGAGAAGTCTGCGTTATAATGGGTTGCTATGAATGCAACCTTCGGTGGTGCTTTTCCATCCTGGGTCCAGTACAAACCTTGGCATGTATGTTGGCCACTGGGTGCTCGTGGTTTAGGGGGCGTGTTTAATCCAACAAAGCGAGCAGAGACGCCTTGAGGAGTTGTAGGCTCCCGATTCGGGACACTTCTTTCTGCTGACATGATGATGAAAGGATGTTTTCTTGCAATGTTGATGCTGCTAGCGACTCCAAGGGGCGAGTTAATATGTACATAAATAGTCTGATTAGAGATTTACTAGTTCGTAAAGCAATAGGAGACCAAAGAGCCTTGGGCATCGCACAGTTCTGGTCACAGTGAGGAGCTGCCGCGAGTATCCCAGTTTTCGGAAGTTTCGGGACCCTGTATTTTGTATTACCCGTGCCCAATATGTTATGCCCCATAGACCGCTTTCCACCGTGAGTATCCGAAGAGCGGGGCTCCGTATTTTGAAGATGGTGTCTGCTAGCGACTCCAAGGGGTGAGTTAATATGTACATAAATAGTCTGATTAGAGATTTACTAGTTTGTAAAGCAATGGGAGACTAAAGAGCCTTGGGCATCGCACAGTTCTGGTCACAGTAAGGAGCTGCCGCGAGTATCCCAGTTTTCGGAAGTTTCGGGACCCTGTATTTTGTATTACCCATGCCCAATATGTTATGCCCCACGGACCGCTTTCCACCGTGAGCATCCGAAGAGCGGGGCTCCGCATTTTGAAGATGGCGTCAAGTAAGGCCTTGTGGAATGACTCAACCTTCAGAGCTAGGGCCCTGAACTGGTCGAGCTTGGTAAAGGCAGCTAGAAGTCTACGTTGCACGGCCTTAAACCGTTCTTGATGGCATGCCGAAGAAGAAACAGGTCGTGAAGGGCAATAAACCGTAGGGTGGGCTATCGGATAGAAACGGCAAATAGGCCAACAAATAGGCCAACAAAGGAGTGCCAACGAGACGGCCGGGAGTGTCTCCCATAGAATGAAGAGAGTCGATAAAACAGCCATTAATGCCTGCGCATCTCGGCTAATCGCAATATAGTCTACTCTTATCGTTACTCCAACTTTCGGGGGGAACTCAGAACCAAAGCACTAACTTTCGACATGGTAAACTCACATCTTGAGGTTCGAGAGAACCAAAACACCAAGAATGGTGTTACGGCCAAGACATTGTCAACATTCACAGTTGGAGATCCCTATGAATATGCATACGGTTTAAACAACTACCATGAGTAAGCTGTTGTATATCTGTTAAATTAGAATATATGCTAAGCAGAATTAGGTCGGAGTCTATTCCTGGTGCAAACCCCAGGGGATGTATTCACCCCCAAAAAGCATTAGTGAACCTCTTCCCAGATCGGCTGTCGACAGCGCCCTTTACTATCTCACGTAAAGAGCAGAAGCAGACGTATTTCTCTCGGACACTGCCATCAACGTCAACGAGACAATACACAGAATGGAAGCCGAGATCTAAGCTACCCAACCTGAAGCTGTCGGATCTCCAATTCAAGCCAATTCCATATATCTTTCCACCACAAGATATCAATGAGCAAGATGACTTTATAACAGGTCTTAAGGTCCTTGCTGGGGTAGGCGATCCTGCTATGAGGAAAGGACTAGCGTATTACGTCTACTCTGCGGGTTTAAGCATGCCAGATAATCAAGCCTTCACTAGTTCCGATGGTGACTTACTCATAGGTTCGTGATGAAAAAGAGTTGCCGAGTGTAATTATTAACCTCTTTCCTAGTTGCCCAGCAAGGTTCTCTTGACATCATGACAGAAATGGGACCGATGAGAGTTCGCCCTTCTGAGATAGCGGTCATCCCTCGCGGAATTCGTTTCCACGTCTCGCTAGTAGAAGGTCCGATCCGTGGATTCGCCCTCGAGACATTCATAGGCCATTTTGAGTTGCCTGAGTTAGGGCCTATTGGTAGCAGTGGGCTGGCGAATGCCAGAGACTTCCAAATTCCTCAGCTGCAGCCATATAAGCCAGGACCTGATACAGAGATTATTAACAAGTATTGCGGCGAACTATTCTCTACGACCATGAAGGGAAGCGTGTTCAACGTGGTTGGGTGGCATGGTTCCACCTTCCCTTTCAAATATGACCTTGGTAAGCCAGCTCCTAGTTTCTGAGAAGCCCTGGCTGACGAGCAATGCTTACTAATAGGCAAATACTGTACCATGGGTGCGATCTCCTATGATCATGCTGTATGTAACTTAGGGCGACACTTGATACAAGGGAAAGAAAAGGTACTGACGCGCGCAGGATCCTTGTATTTGGACTGTCTTCACAGTAAAGAGCGACGTTGAGGGAATACCAGCGGTTGATGTTCTTGCTATCCCCCCGAGATGGGTTGTCCACGAGGATACATTCAGGCCACCTTCTTTCCATCGCAATGTCGCATCAGAGTTCATTGCTATCATCAAAGGTTCTCTAGATGGGAAGAATGATGCCAGTGGGCTCTCGTCAATCAACATTAATTTAACGGCACATGGACCCACACGAGCAGAGTATGAGACAGGTATTTCGGAAGACCAAAAGCCTGTTCGAATCAGCAACGATAATATGTTGGTGATGTTTGAGAGCAGGTGAGCTGCACCTGAGAATTATAACAGACTAGATACTAATACTCACCTAGCTATGTCCTCGGAATCCCGGACTGGGCTACAGGAGGCAAGACAGTTGCAATTGGAGATAGATATAGTGAGTACGAGCCAGCTCAGGTCTGAGCCTGCAAGCTTCAGGAATTAAACTAGAGCTCTGCACACGCCTATATTCGGCAGGTCGCAAATGGGTAGTCGTTTGGTGAATCCATAAAAGAATACTTTCATTCAGACTACCCTAGCTCTATATCATTATGCTGTGAAGATATCTCTAAAATAGTATCTAGTGTCTGAATGTCTTGAAACTCACAGCCTGCTTGTCTGTCCACGCCTATCCTCTAGTCTCTGGTTAATTCTAGTAGATTTGATTTAATTTTTGGTGTAAGTAGAGAGGTGGGGCCTCACAACAAACTGTAATTCGGTTCTTCTCACAACAAACTGTAATTCGGTTCTTCTTAGACCCGAATTGAAACCCCATACAAAATAAAACGGCGCTCACAACAAACTCACAACAAACTGTAATTCGGTTCTTCTTAGACCCGAATTGAAACCCCATACAAAATAAAACGGCGCTATGATTACAGGGGGTAGAACCGAATTGACAAGCAGGGGGTAGAACCGAATTGGTTTC